TGTGCCCAGGTGTGCCAATCTCCCACCCAGGTGTGCCCAGGTACCTCCCAAACTTAACCCAGGTGCCACCAGGAGTGCTCAGGTGTGCCCAGGTGTGCCCAGGTGCACCCCAAACCCCCTTTAAACCCTCCCAGCCGTGCCCAGGTGTGCCCAGGTGCGCCCAGGTGTGCCCAGGGCCGCTCACGGGCTCGTTGACGCGGGGCACGAACACGGCCAGGCAGAAGACGGCGGCCACGGGCGGCGCCAGGTACGAGGAGAGCGCCTGCAGGTACTCGAAGAGCTGCGCCCCCCGCGCCGCCCGCAGCACGGGCAGCCAGGCCAGGCTCAGCGCCACCATGGCCACCACCCAGAGCCTGCGGGCAGGTGAGCTCACCTGTGTGCCCAGGTGAGCGCCCAGGTGTGCCCCAGGTGTGTCTCAGATGCGCCCCAGCCGTGCCCAGGTGTGCCAATGGTGCCCCCAGCCGTGCCCAGGGGTGCCCCAGGTGTGCCCCAGGTGAGTGCCCAGGTGTGTTTAACCATGCCCAGGTCTATCTCAGGTGTGCCCAGGTGAGTGCCCAGGGGTGCCCCAGGTGTGTCTCAGGTGTCCCCCAGCTGTGCCCAGGGGTGCCCCAGGTGAGTGCCCAGGTGTATCCCAGGTGTGCCCAGGTGCATCCCAGGTGTACCCAGGTGTATCCCAAGTGTGCCCAGGTGTGTCCCATATGTGCCCAGGTGCATCCCAGGTGTACCCAGGTGTACCCAGGTGTATCCCAGGTGTATATCAGGTGCGCCCAGGTGTATTTTATCTGTGCCGAGGTGTGCCCAGCCATGCCCAGGTCTATCTCAGGTGCCCCCAGGTCTATCTCAGGTGTGCCCAGCCGTGCCCAGGTGTATCCCAGGTGTATCTCAGGTGCCCGCAGGTGTGCCCAGGTGTATCTCAGGTGCCCCCAGGTGTCCCCAGGTGTATCCCAGGTGTATCTCAGGTGTGCCCAGGTGTATCTCAGGTGTGCCCAGGTGTATTTTATCTGTGCCCAGGTGTATCTCAGGTGTGCCCAGGCGTATCTCAGGTGCCCCCAGGTGTGCCCAGGTGTATCTCAGGTGTACCCAGGTGTGCCCAGGTGTAACTCAGGTGTGCCCAGGCGTATCTCAGGTGTACCCAGGTGTGCCCAGGTGTGCCCAGGCGTATCTCAGGTGTGCCCAGGTGTGCCCAGGTGTATCTCAGGTGTGCCCAGGTGTATCTCAGGTGCCCCCAGGTGTGCCCAGGTGTATCTCAGGTGTGCCCAGGCGTATCTCAGGTGTACCCAGGTGTGCCCCGGTGTATCTCAGGTGTGCCCAGGTGTATCTCAGGTGCCCCCAGGTGTGCCCCGGTGTATCTCTGGTGTGCCCAGGTGTATCTCAGGTGTGCCCAGGTGTATTTTATCTGTGCCCAGCCATGCCCAGATGTATCCCAGGTGCCCCCAGGTGTACCCAGGCGTATTTTATCTGTGCCCAGGTGTGCCCAGGTGTGCCCAGGCGTATCTCAGGTGCCCCCAGGTGTGCCCAGGTGTATCTCAGGTGTGCCCAGGTGTATCTCAGGTGTGCCCAGGTGTGCCCAGGTGTGCCCAGGTGTATCTCAGGTGCCCCCAGGTGTGCCCAGGTGTATCTCAGGTGTGCCCAGGTGTATCTCAGGTGTGCCCAGGTGTGCCCAGGTGTATCTCAGGTGTGCCCAGGCGTATCTCAGGTGTACCCAGGTGTGCCCAGGTGTATCTCAGGTGCCCCCAGGTGTATCTCAGGTGTGCCCAGGTGTATCTCAGGTGCCCCCAGGTGCCCGCAGGTGCCCCCGGGCCCACCTGCCGGCCAGCAGCAGCTGCCGTGGCCCCGCCCGCGGCCGCAGCCTCCGGACGACGTCGAGCGAGAAGAGCGCGGCCGAGCTGGCGAAGATGGAGGCCAGCGACGACATCAGCGCCGCCAGCACCACGGCCAGCATCAGCCCGCGCAGCCCTAATTAGTTAATTAGCGTTAATTAAGGGGGAAAGGTGAAAAACGGCGAAAAAACGGCGAAAAAATGGCAAAAATCGGCCGAAAAATGGAGTTATTAGGATCAAAAATGGAGTTATTAGGACTGAAAATTGAGTTATTAGCACACATTAATTATTAATTAATAATTAATATTAATTAACGGTGAAAGAATGGTGAAAATTGGCGGGAAAACGGCGAAAATCGGAAAAAAAACGGAGTTGTTAGGATCAAAAATTTAAGTTATTAGGATAGAAAACTGAGTTATTACGCCAAATTAATCATTAATTAATCATTAATATTAATTAACAGTGAAAGAATGGTGAAAATTGGAGGGAAAACGGCAAAAATTGGCCAAAAAATGGCAAAAATCGGCCAAAAATGGAGTTATTAGGGTCAAAATTTGAGTTATTAGGAGCGAAAATTGAGTTATTAGCACATATTAATTATTTATTAATAATATTAATTAACGGTGAAAGAATGGTGAAAATTGGCGGGAAAACGGCGAAAATCGGCAAAAAAAAAGAATTATTAGCCCCAACAATGGAATTATTAGCCCCAAATCAGAATTAATAGCTAATTAATTGTCCTAATGAGGTCCTAATTAGCTCCTAATTAGCGTTATCAGCCCCCAAATTAGGATTATTACTGAATTATTAGGATTAATTAGCCTGAAATACCTATTAATAGCCTCAAAAATAGGGTAATAATTGCTTCTAATTAATAATAATTTATTATTAATCGCTAATAGTCAGTAATTAATCATTAATTAATCGCTAATAAGCACTAATTATCACCTAATCATTAAGAATCATTAATAAATAACTAATTAGCATTAATAATTAAATAATAACCACTAATAATACTTAATAATCGCTTATTAGCGCTATGAATCACTAATAAGCGGTCATGAATAATTAATGAGCGCTAATTATGCATAATTAATTACCGAAGGGCAGCAGGCTGAGCACCAGCCAGGGATAGGCCAGTACTAATTATCACTAATAATCGCTAATAACCGCTAATAATCGCTAATAAATCCCTAATAAGTGATTAATGAGTAATTAATGAGTGCTAATTAGGGGTAATTAATTACCGGGCGGCAGCAGGCTGAGCACCTGCCGGGGATAGACCAGTACTAATGACCACGAATAATCACTAATAATCATTCATAATCGCTAATAATCGCTAATAAATCCCTAATAAATGATTGATGAGTAATTAATGCGCGCTAATTAGGGGTAATTAATTACCGGGTGGCAGCAGGCTGAGCACCTGCCGGGGATAGACCAGTACTAATGACCACGAATAATCACTAATAATCATTCATAATGGCTAATAATCGCTAATAAATCCCTAATAAGTGATTAATGAGTAATTAATGCGCGCTAATTAGGGGTAATTAATTACCGGGCGGCAGCAGGCTGAGCACCAGCCGGGGATAGGCCACGTTGGAGCAGCCGAGGGCGGAGCCGCAGGCCCGGGAGCAGCCCTGGGGGTCAGCNCCGGGCGGCAGCAGGCTGAGCACCAGCCGGGGATAGGCCACGTTGGAGCAGCCGAGGGCGGAGCCGCAGGCCCGGGAGCAGCCCTGGGGGTCAGCACAGCCGACGACCTCTGGGACCAGTACAGACCAGTATAAACCAGTATGGACCAGTATAAACCAGTACGGACCAGTATAAACCAGTATGGACCAGTACGGACCAGTATAAACCAGTATGGACCAGTACAGACCAGTATGGATCAGTATGGACCAGTATAAACCAGTATGGACTAGTATAAACCAGTATGGACCAGTACGGACCAGTATGGACCAGTATGGACCAGTATAAACCAGTATGGACCAGTATAAACCAGTATGGACCAGTATGGACCAGTATAAACCAGTATGGACAAGTACGGACCAGTATGGATCAGTATGGACCAGTATAAACCAGTATGGACTAGTATAAACCAGTACGGACCAGTATAAACCAGTATGGACCAGTATAAACCAGTATGGACCAGTACGGACCTGTATGGAGCAGTACGGACCAGTATAAACCAGTACGGACCAGTATAAACCAGTATGGACCAGTACGGACCAGTATAAACCAGTATAAACCAGTATGGACCAGTATAAACCAGTACGAACCAGTATGGACCAGTAAAAACCAGTATAAACCAGTATGGACCAGTATAAACCAGTACGAACCAGTATGGACCAGTATGGACCAGTACGGACCAGTACGGACCAGTATGGACCAGTATAAACCAGTATGGACCAGTACGGACCAGTACGGACCAGTATGGACCAGTATAAACCAGTATAAACCACTATGGACCAATGGGTGTCCATAGTGGGGAACCATCTTGGGCAGCCATCTTAGATTCATGCTATGACAGCCATTTTGGGCAGCCATTTTGTAAACTCCAATGGTGGCAGCCATTTTGGGCGCCATATTGGATTAGTGCCTTAAATGATGATAAAGCATTCTAAACCAGTATAAACCAGTATAAACCAGTATAAACCAGTATAAACCAGTAAAACTAGTATGCACCAATGGGTGGCCATAGTGGGGAGCCATCTTGGGCAGCCATCTTGAAAACCCCAATGGAGGCAGCCATTTTGGGCGCCATATTGGAT